TCACCACTTCCTCCTGGTCAGCTCTGCAGAAATGCCTCAGCGACGGGACGGGAGCTCGTGCTTTGCCCTGGGATGTTCTGGTCATCTGACCTCCTTGAGCCTCGGTTTCCTCACCTGTAAAGTGGGGTTAATAATGATACTCAACCTAGAAGGTGAGGATAGAGTTGGGATAGTGGTGATATCCACTGTAGGACACAATGCCAGGACTTAAACCCAGGATTCTTGATTACTACCCCACATCGCTTCTCACACTATGGCTCACAGTTCCTCATGTTTTAAAAAGGATTTAAGACATCTGAAGCAATATGTGGTCAAATAGTCATGTTGGTAAAATCTGGTGGTGCGCTCATGGGTGTTCCTTTCTTTCTTCTTTGTAATTTCCTGTAGGTGTGCAATGTTTACAAAAGCCCCTGGGCTTGGGTTTGAGGCCTCTGCTGGCCCCAGGCCCCTTTCCCAGCCATGCTCCACATCACACAGGTAGTCTGGCTGCCAGAGTGGCAGAGCAGTGACCAGCTCATTCCCAGTGCTCACAGGTTGACTCCTGGCACATTCTCCTGCTGTGGCTGATGGCCAGAGGAGGCCTGGGCCCTGGGCAGAAAGGCTCAACCAATACCTGGGTTGCTCCCCTTAAGACCGAGAGCGCAGGTGCCCCAGTGGGCCAACAGACTGCCCTGTGGCTTCTCCGTCATCCTGAAGCAGGATCTATTGACCATGTAATTAGCGGATGTCTGGTCTGCAAGAGGCGATGGTTGCCTGCCCACACTGACTCTGTCTGGCCAGAAGTGGCCCTGGATGTTCTGCTGGACTATGTGTCCTGGGCTGGCAGCTGACAGTGCCCACTGGGCTCCTGCACATGTGGGCAATACAGCCTTCAGGCAAACAGGCTGGGACTCAGCTGCCAACAGCAGCCTGGTCTCACCTCTTCCCCAGTCCTGCTCAAGAGGTAGGGAAAGGGGCTGAGGGTGGAGGAGGGTCCTGCGTGGGGTCACTGGGGAAGTCCACAGCAGGGCTGGACATGGCCCTCAGGCCAGGCTGGGTCTGGATGGATGAGAAGGCAGCCTTTGGGGGCCTTGAATCATCTGCTGATGGCACAAAGCCAACATCTGGGGAAGAAAATCCGGAGGTTTTCTAAGCCACAGGGCTGGCTTCTGGGGCTGTTTCCATCACACAGGGCTTGGGAGCACATCAGCTCAAAGGACCAGCTTTGTCCTGCTGCTGAGGCAGTGTCCTCCCCCAGCCCCGTAAACATCCTCCACTCCAGAGGCATTTGGTGAAATTGTCCAGGCCATCTGGCCCTTGGATATAGCAGGATCTCAAGTCTGGTGGAAATAGCAAAGCTGCAGCATTCATTCATTCGCTCACGCATTCATTCACCTTTTTGTCCATTCATGTCCTCATTTGTTCATACAAATAATAGAATTCCCAGCCTATGTCAGAGGCCAGACCTTGGGGGTCAACAGCCAGGATTCCTGCCTTCACGCTGCTGAAAAGGGGACTAGAGGGGACTAGAGGACCAGTTCTAACTTCTAGTATTGAAGTTTGCTTTGTTTGAAATTTGTGTAGCTATTCTAGGTTCCTTCTGATTAATATGGTGTTATGTCTTTCTCTATCCTTTGATTTTTAACCCAAGTCTTTCTATTTGGTAGATAACCTATAATTGGGCCTTATTTTTTATCCACTCTGACCATCTATGAATTTTAATTGATGTATTTCCATCATTCACATTTAAAGTGATTATGGATAGAGTTGCTATTGCTAGTTAGTATCTACCATGTGTACTATTTTCTATTGATTACACGTGTTCTTGTTTTTTCCCTTTTTTCTCTCCCTCTGGTTTCACATGAGCATTTAATATATCATTTTATCTCCTTTTTAAGCATATCAGCTATACTTTTAAAAATTACTGATTGCTCTAGAGTATGCAATATACATTCTGTTTATGCTATAATTTTTTATTTAGACTTTATTTTAGAAAAATTTTATATTTACAGAAAATTTGAGAAGATAGTACAGAGGAATTAGACATTTCTAACTAATAATATTCCATCTTCAAATAATACTATTTTGTTTCCCATGCAGAGCAGGTACCTTGAAACAGAGTATTTCCAATTCCTCCCTCCCATCCCTTATGGCATTGCTGTCATTTATTTCACTTATCCACATGCTATAATCATCTAGCACATTGAATTTCTATATCATTTTCCTTTTCCCTGAAGTATTTCTTTTAACATTTTTTTGAAGGGCAGATCTGCTGGTGATGAATTTCCTCAGCTTTTGTTTTTCTGAGAAAAGTCATTATTTCTCTTTCACATCTGGAGGATCATTTTGCTGGACATAGAATTCTAGGTTGATGGTTTTTAATTTCACCACTATAAATATGTCACTTTCTTTGTTCTTGAATGGTTTCGAATGAGAAACTTGCGGTCATTCTTCTCATTCCGCTCTGGTAAGGTACTTTTTTTCCCTTCTGGCTTTGTTCAAGATTATCTTGTTGTCTCTGGTTTTGAGTATGATATGCCTAGGTATAGTTGTCTTTGGTATTTATCCTGCTTTACATTTTCTTAGATTCTTGGGTCTGTTGTCTGGTATTTGTCATTGATTTTTTAAAATTCCCATCCGTTATTACTTGAAATATTTCCTCTGGTACATTCACTCTTTCTTCTCTTTCTGGTTTTCTAATCACATATTTGTTACTTTCAAAACTGTCCCATGGTTCTTGGATGCTCTGTTTGATTTTTTAACTTTCTTTTTGTATGCTAGTTTGGGACAGTCCTACTGACACATCTTCATGCTCACTGATTCCTCCCTTGGCAGTGTCCAGTTTCCTGGTGAACTCATCAAAGACATTCTTCATTTCTGTTACGGTGTTTTTCATTTCTACCATTTCTTTTCAGTTTTTTTTTTCTTAATGGTCTCATCTCTCTGCTTATATTGTCCAACTGTTCTTGCATGTTGTCAACTTTTTCCATTAGAGACCTTAACATATTAATTGTAGTTATTTTAAATTCCCTCTCTGATAATTCCAAATTCTGCACCTTACCCAAGTCTGGTCCTAATGCTTTTTTCCCTTCAGACTGTGTCTTGTCATTTGTCGTGCCCTGTAATTTTTTTCTTGAAAGCCAGGTGTGAGGTATCAGATAATAGGAACTGAGGTAAACGGACCTTCAGAGGGCAGATTTATGTTGCTCTGGCTGGGGGGTTACACTGTGTTTCAGGTTTGCTCTAGCTATAGGAGCGGAGCGGGGAGCTAAAGCTTCAAATTCCTGTCTTTTGTCTCCCTGTTGTCTTGAGAACGCCCCCTCAGATAGAGTGAGTATCTTGCAGCTCTAGGGCTGTAACAGTTATTGCCGCTGGAGGCCTGCTGAGGTCTCAGCAGGGAATTGGGGAGAAGAAATATTCTACAGCCGTATGTCCTTGGGCTGTGACATCCACTCGTGTTTCTTAACTCTTTCCACCTAGGTAAGATAAAGAGGTTAAAGGCGGTTGGAGTTGGGGATAGACCCTCCCCCCCAGGAGGGACAGGCCCTGGTAAAGTCTTTTTCTCTAGAGGGTAGGGAGATTTCTGCAGATAAAATTACAAAACCGTGTCCTCCTCTTTTAGACTGTGACCCTTTGGGAGTTTCTCAGCTTGCGTTATTGCACATATTCAGCCCTCAGCAATTCATTAAAATGGCCATTTAAGCCATCCTGCTGAGTTATGGCTGGGGACTTTTTGCTGCAGGGGAGCAGACCTCAGGTGAGACTGCCTTGCTTGTCTCCAGATTTTGGAGTGGCTGGCGGCTCTAAGACCTCAGTTCTCTAATGGGTCTAAGAAAAGTCATTGGTTTTCAGTGTGTTCAGCTTTTTTTTTTTTTAATTGGCTGTACAGGAGTGATGACTTCCAGGCTTTTGACCCGTCAGAGCAGAAACAAGCCGCCTGGGCTCTTGTTTTGAATAAACAAAACATGTTTTTTTGTTTTCTGAGCCCGCCATGCGCCTCTGGGTAGGCTCCCGACTCCCCTTGAGCCCGTGTTCTCTCATCTGTAAGGGGACCCTTACCTTAACCCCGGTGTGTGACATAGGGCAGAAGTGGGGGCAGGGGCTGCAGGGCGGAGAGCAGGAAGGCTGCGCAGGTGGGTGGAGTGGCAGGAAGAGGCCCAGCAGTCGCTGCTGTAGGGGAATCTGCTGGCCCAGGAAGGGGTAAAGGGAAGACGCCTGTGGTGGCAGCCAGATGTTCGCCATGCTCTGCAAGTGCCCCACGCTCCCTCCCCAGCCCCGGGCCTAGATTCCCTTCTTCTGAGTCCTGGGGCAACACCTCCTGCCCTTTATGCTGCTGTATCTCATTTTTAAACGAGTCCATGAGAATTCCCAGCCACTGGCTCCTCCTCCCCTGGCCCAATCGAGGCAGGACTGGAACCCAGGAGTCCAGGCCTCGGGGCGGAAATGGGAAACAGAGCGGGCACCTGGGTCCCCAGGAGGAGAGGCCGTTGCCGTTGTATTTGGAAAGTCTCCGGGTCCGGGTCCGAAGGAAGGGGCGGCTCAGACAGCGGAAACAGAGGTTGCGCGGTGCTCTGACTTCTGCGCCTCCACCAGGCAGAGCCTCCTTCATCCTTGAGGACCACCCGAGTGACCTCCCTTTGGTGAAGCCTCTCTTCGCCCGACTCCGTCTGAGGGCAGAGTCCCCGCTTCTGCCCACGCCAGGTGTGGCTCATTTTCCTCTTAAATGCGTCTGATTTCCCAGCGCCCAGCTGGAACCGGGTGGGTAACGAGGTCAAGGCGGGGAAGCCTTTCTTCAGCTTTCCCAGGACGTCCTGACCGGGGGTGACCCCCTGGCCGGGGAGGTCTCCCGACTCGGGCCCTGCGAAGTAAGCCCGCCCCTTCCCCGTGGCCGGGAGCGCCCCGAAGGGTGCCGGCCAGGCCGGAGGCGGTCGCTCAGGGCGCGGCCCGCGGCTCCCCAGGGCCGCGCAGGGCCGGGGGCGCCCTCCCTCCGCCTCTTCCTCCGCGGGCCGGGCCGGGCCGGGCCGGGGCGGGGCGGGGCGGCGGCGGCATGGCGGGCCGGCGGCCGGGGCCCGGGGCGCTGCTGGCGCTGCTGGCAGCGCAGGCGCTCGGGGCGGCGGCGCACCCGCAGTGCCTGGACTTCAGGCCACCCTTCCGGCCGCCACAGCCGCTGCGCTTCTGCGCGCAGTACTCGGCCTTCGGCTGCTGCGCGCCCGAGCAGGACGCGGCGCTGGCCCGTCGCTTCGGGGCCCTGGCGGCGCGCGTGGACGCCGCCGAGTGGGCCTCGTGCGCCGGCTACGCGCTCGATCTGCTGTGCCAGGTGAGCGGGGGCGCGCGGCGGGAGGGACAGCGACTCAGCGGGCGGGGATCCGGCACGGGCTGCTGGCTTTGGACCCCGAGGCCCCTGGCGGGAGTCGTTTGTCACGGGGAGGGGAGACCGGCTTCCCGGCACCGCCCTGGGCTTTGCCATTCATTAGCAGTGTGGCTCGGGCCTTCTCCAGACCTTAGCTTCCCATCGTGGAGCAGAAGGGACGGATAGATGGTATCATCACTCTCCCAGAGTTTGGGGGCACCTCTGCCCCGGCACCTCCTGGAGTCAGTTCCGAGAAGCCCCGCCCGTGTCGGGTACCAGGCTGGCAGGGAAGCCTTTGTGCAGCTCAGTGCTTCCCCTCTCCGGCCCCCGGGGAGGTGGGCGCCGCGGGGTCCCGCAGAGGGCACCGTCAACGCGCCGCGCTTGGGTTGGTCGTGGGGTTGGGGGAACACTGTTCCCAGTGAGGGCCCATCCCCCGCCCTGAGGGGCAGACTCAGAGCCCCTCCCTCTGCCCCGCCCCTGACGTGTGCTGGGTGAGTCGGAGGCCTGAGATGCCCTGGGCACAAGCAGCACCCACCTGGGCTCATGCTGTGCCCTCTCCCCGAGGCCGCTTCCACCAGGCAGAGCCTCCTTCATCCTTCAGGACCACCTGAGTGACCTCCCTTTGGTGAAACCTCTCCCCCGACTCTGTCTGAGGGCAGAGCACCAGGTGTGGCTCATTTGCCTCTTAAGTGCGTCTGATTTCCCAGTGCCCAGCTGGAACTGTGTGGGTAATGAGGTCAAGGTGGGGAAGTCTTAGGGCTGGTCCCCGCCCACCAACTGGGCAGAGAGAGGAGGGGGAGGGATCCCTTAGGGTCTGCACTGCCACCCAGCTCTCCACCCGCAGGGGCAGGCTGTGTGTGGAGGAGTGGAGGTCTGGCTTGGACTCACACTCAGCTTGGTTTGATCCCGGCTCTGCCACTTCCTGGCTGGATGACCTGGGCCAGGTCGCTGCTGCGTTTCAGTTGCATCATCTTCAAAATGGGGCAATCTTGGCTGCTCCTCAGAGTTGCTATGCAGACTAAATGGCACGTGTTCAGGGCTCGGGCTGATTCCGGTTGATTTCTCTAAAACTTCCTTGGCCTCCACTGGTGGCCCAGCCGTGGGTGGTGATTGAGTGGGGCTCAGAGGCCAGGCCAGAGGGGCAGGGACTTGCTTGGTGGTCACACTGCCCAGTAGCGGCCATGGTGGGCATTTGGGCCACACTCATTGCCAATGTAAGCATGTCATCTCTGTGGGAAATAAGAGGGGCTGGAAGTGGATGATGAGGGGGCCCCTTGGGGCTCTGGAATGCAAAGGTGGGGGACCACGTGCCTTTGTGATTTCTGTTGAGCCCCCTCACTGTGTATCTCAGGGGAGCCAGGACAGTCTGGTGAAGCATCTGCCTTGCTCACCAGCCTGGGGACCCCTCAGGACCAGGTCCTGTGGTCTCCCCAGGCCCAGGCACATAGGTGGCTTCATGCATCCACCCCACATTTGTTTAGTGAACACTTCCTATGTGCCAGGCTCATTCAGGCAATAAGGTGGTCAGGTCCAAGGAGGAAGGGAGGGTCAGTCCAGCTACAAAGACCTGGCAGGACTCTCGCCTCTCTCCTTGGGATCCTTCCCAGCATGGCCTGGCCTTGAGCACCCAGTGGTGCAGTGGCTCCTAGTGTCTCACCCCAGGCGTCTCTGGGAGTGACCTCATGTCTGGAGTGAGCTTGGAGGGGGCAGCCGAGGCCGGATCGTGGTTTCCCTGGTGGGGCCTCCAAAGAGGGCTGGAGAGCGCTGGCCAGAGGAGGACTCTGTGAGCCAAGGCTGTGTCTGATTCAGCACCTCTTAGTTTCCCTCAGGGAGGTGTTTCAGCCAGTGACGGCATTCAGGCACTCACATCTGCCTTGGGGAGCAGGACCTCAGGCATGAGAGAGAACCTGAGGTCCGGCTCACCACCCCCCACCCCACCCCAGCCCCATCCCACCCCCAGAGCCTGCCCCTGTCTGGCACCTAGAAAACCCCTCCAGGTACCCAGGAAGGCTTCCTAGCTAGAGGGCAGTCATCCCTTCTGGCCCTTTCAGATTCTTTCCTAGGGCTTTGCCCTCATCCAGCAGATTCCTGTGTCATCAGGAGGAAAGAAGCAGCTTGTGACATGTGGCATCCCAGGTCCCCACTGTAGTTTGCTTTGAGCCGTTCTATATAACTAACTTCCCGTAAAACTGAGACTGCCTACTTTGTCATCAAAGCCTGGTTTCTGATGCATATCTATGCAAAACATGCTCTGCAGGATCAGGTAATAGGTAGACATTTCCCAGAACCTGCTAGGAGTTGGCCCTGTACTGGGTGCTGAGCCCACAGACAGTTAGCAAGTCACAGGCCCAGCCTCAAAAATCCCTCATTCAATTCAGAAGAAGAACACACCGATACATACCCAGAATGCACAAAAAACTTCCCAACGGTGACCAAAAACTATGGGGGAATGGGGAGAAAGGCCACACTTTCCCTGGAAAAGTCAGGGAGGGCTTCCAGGAGGAGGGAACATTGAGTTGCATTTTTTTTTTTTTGAGAGGACATCTCTCATATTGATCAAATGGTTGTTAACAACAATAAAATTCTGTATAGGGGACTCAATGCACAGTCATTTATCAACCCCAAGCCTATATCTCAACAGTCTCCAATCTTCTGAAGCATAATGAACAAGTTCTTACATGGTGAACAAGGTCTTACCTAGTGAATAAGTTCTTACACGGTGAACAGTGCAAGGGCAGTCATATCACGGAAACTTTCGGTTTTGATCACGCATCATGAACTATAAACAATCAAGTCAGATATGATTATTCGTTTGATTTTTATACATGATTTATATGCGAATCCCACATTTCTCCCTTATTATTATTATTTTTTAATAAAATGCTGAAGTGGTAGGTAGATGCAAGATAAAGGTAGAAAACATAGTTTAGTGCTGTAAGAGAGCAAATGTAGATGATCAGGTGTGTGCCTGTAGACTAAGTATTAATCCAAGCTAGACAAGGGCAACAAAACATCCACGGATGCAGAAGATTTCTCCATTGAGTTGCATTTTGATGGCCTACCTTGTTTGAGCATTTACTAGACACACACATATCATCTCATTTTATTCCTCCCAACAACTCCACAAGGTTGGAATTCCTTTCGCCTATTACAGACGAGGACATAGGCACAGGGAGGTTAAGGAACTTGCCCAAGGTGACACAGGAAATGGCAGACTCAGTCTCCGGGGTGCTCTGACTCCAAAGCCCTTTTCTTAATCACTTTACCATATTGCCTGCCTTCTTGTATCCCCAGTCTTTGCTGGGCTCTGGGGTCCCTGCCCTGGAGTACCCCACAGTCTTTGGGGTGGTCAGACAAGCAAAGAGATAAGTAGGTCCTAGCCAAGCAGACCAGTGGAACCATCTCTGGCAATGGTGAGATGGTAGCATACGTCAAGCTGTAGAATTACATTTTGGTGAATGTTGTGTCTGAGCTAGGGACAGAGGGCTGTAGGATCATCCCCCCATCCATAAGGGCCACTGGGGAGTCAGGGCCCTGGGAGAATGAAGGAGTAAGAAAAGATTTTTGAGTTGAGCCTGGAGTCATGAATAGGAGTTTGCCGGATGGAGAAGTGGGTGCAGAGGGAACATCCTATCAAGAAAACGGTGTCTGGAAGGACTCAGTCCTCCTGTAGGATAGGTGGTGGACATAAGAAGCCATCAGGACTCAGAATCATGAGTCTTGAGTGTCGGCAACTGTACAGTGACAGCAACTGCACAGTGACAGCCTTGGGACAGGAAGATGGGCAGGCTGTTTGCTCCCGCACTGAATGGCCCAGGCCGCTGAGCACTGTTAGAGTGGTCAGCTTCCTGCGGCTCCCCCACTGACCACTGTGAGGCTGTTTGCTGACGTCCTCCTTGCCGCTGGTAATCACTGTCTCCTCTTGCGTTTCCTGCTTCTGGACTACTCAGGTGCGGGCACCTGGTTTGCTCTGTGTGTAAGTAAGAGCACATAGGCCACGAGTAAGGGCTTGCTGGACCCAGCTTGGTGCATGGATGCTGAAATTCTCGCCTGGGTCCCTGCAGGACCTTCTTGCTCCCTCTCCAATTCTGGGCTGGGCTCTGATGAGTGGAGGCTCTTGGGTTGACTTCCGTAGCTCTGTTCTGCGCCCCACAGTGTCTCTGGAACTGACAGTAGTGCCTGTTACACAGTCAGCATCCTGTAAGCACTCGTTGATTGAAACATTGCTGACTAATCTGGAAAGAGCACCAGTCTGGGTTTCATGAGGGCTGGTCTGGGCCCTGGCTTGAACACTAATTGGCATGTGGCCTTCTATGGGCCTCAGTTCCTCCTCTGGACAGTAGGAGTCACAACCACCCTAACTCACGAAGATCAAATGAGGAGTGTGTGCACATAGACCCTCCCTGGGCCACCCACAGCCCCTGGCTGGACTCACAGGAAGCTCCAGGGGAATCGTGGTGCGATGGCACTGTGCAGAGGCCTGGGCCTGGCCCCCTGGCCTATTGGTCGGCCAAGTGGAACATGTGAAAGGTGGTGTCCCCCTCTGGGCCTGGGACAGTGACTGAACAGAGACCCCCAAGCATACATCACCAAATGGCCCTCAGACCCACAGTAGCAGTAGAGGGTTCAGGAGGACAGGTCATGGGGTGACCAAAAGCCACAGTGGTTTAAAGGGAGGGAGCAGCCCCTGACCCAGAGCCTGAGAAAACAGCCAGGAGGGCAGCCTGCCACCCACTGCCCCTGGAGGTCCCCTGCTGGAACCCAGCCTGGCCCTGCCTGGGGGGAGGAGCATGTGACTGTCAGTGGCTTTCCTCCTGCACGTGGAGCACCCCTGAGGCCTCCAGGGGCCCAGGGCTGAGTAGACTAGGCCGTGGCCTGGTGAGCTCGTGGTGGGCAGGGGCCTGGGGGTGTCACACAGACATAAATGCACTTGACCCTTGAGCAGTGCAGGGGTTAGGGGCACCAACCCCAGCCCCCATCCACACAGTTGAAAATCCATATATGACTTTTGGCTCCCCAAAAACTTAACTACTAATAGCCTACAGTTGACTGGAAGCCTTACTAAAAACATAAGTGGTCAATTAACATGTATTTTGTATGCTGTATATATTGCATACTGTATTCTTACAATAAAGTAAGCTAGAGGATGTTGTTTCAAATTGTCACCAATCTCCAAAAATTTTTTCCAATATATTCATTGAAAAAAATCCATGTATAAGCAGACCCATGCAGTGTAAATCCATCTGCTCAGGTCTGGGGTTCCAACTGAGGGAGGCCGTAATAGAGCCTGGGGAGCTGAGGCTCTGCTCAGGGTGGGGAGCATTAAGTGGGGGTGGCTAGTGAGGAGTCAGGCAGTGGAGCTGGAAAATGCCCCTGCTTCTCCCTTTCTCCCATCCTCCAACCCTGGTGCACCCTGGCTGTGACCTCAGTTAGTCTGTGCTGCCCCATCTGTACTGTGGCAGTAAAAACATCTATCTGCCCTGCAGTTGCCTTGAGGAAGAAATCACAGAATCCCTGGGGCACCCCTGTCTGCTGAATGCCCAGGAGCTATTATTATTGTTAGTACTGTTTAATCAGTGGCCAGGTTATTATGTGAGGATGAATAGAATTCTGCTTGTGGGGCAGGGCAGGGCATGGCATGCCTGCGGAGGGAACAGCGTGTGCTGAGGCTCAGAGGTGAAAATGGCCAGAAGTGTTGGAAATGGGAGGTGGGCAGGGGTGGGGTGGGAGCTGATGGGAGTATCGGGAGTGTCTGGGTATCTTTTCTTGGACTTGCAGGCTTGCAGGTGGAGGGAGTAGGGGTGGGAGTTGGGGACTTGAAGCTGGGAGAGGGCTGATCAGTTTACTCACCTCTGCCTGGGTTCTGGTTTCTCAGAAAGAAGAACCTGGGGCAAAGCTCGGGAGCATTGTCCTTCTAGGGTGAGTGGGAAGGATGGAGGCAGCACAAGGGGGCGGTTTTGAGCTGGCTGCTGTTTGATGCGAGCGCTTGACCCAGCGGGACCACGGTTCCAAGAGACCATGAAAACTGCGAACTCAGAGGTGGGACAGGCTTTCTGTGGGTGAAGAGGAAGGCAGGACAATTCGTGCATCAGCCCCCTCTCAGGAATCAGAAGCTAATGCCTGGGAGGCGTTAAGTCTCCACATTCCGACTGTGGCCAACGGGCACTGAGTGGGGTGCACAGTGTCTTACAGAAGGGGAGCCATCAGTGGGAGGCAAGGGGTGAGCCACAGCTAGGACAGTGAGGCCCCTGGGCTTTGCGCTGTGATGTTAGAGCCCAGCAGAGCTGGGGAAGGGACCGTGAAGCTGAGTGAGTCTGATCCTCCTGTCCCAGAGGGTATCTGCCCTGGCTGACACCCCATGTCCCCAGTAGGGACACCCCATGACCCTACCTGGGAGGGGCTGCACTGAGGTGCCTGAGGGGTGGAGAAAGAAGGCTCAGGGGTCGGGGATATGTTGGCATTGACCTTATGGACTCACTCACACAGGCACATGTGCCAGCCTCCAGGTGCTGGCGAGAGCAGGTCGCCGAGACCAAACCAGCCTCCTCCATGCCGATTGACTGGCGCCAAGTGACCTGGGGGGCAGGCTCCCCATCTGTCATGCTCTCCCCTTCGTGGGCCTCTTGAGGATTACATAGATAATGGAGGAGGAGTGCTTATTTGCTCTTACTGGCTGGTCAGTGTAAGTTATGACTCAACACATTCCCAGAGGACTCACTGTGGGCCTACTATGTGCAAGGCTCTGTATTGGGCTCTGAAATATACAGTGACCAAGACAGGCAAAATTCCTGCCCTTGTGGAATTTGTGGTCCCAGGAAGACAGTCAACAAACATGTAAACACCTTAATTTTTATTATGATATCAGGTAATGTTAAGTTTTGGGTTTTTTTTTTTAGCCAAGTGGTCGGAGAAGACCTCTGTCTTGAGTGGGGACCTAAATAAAGTGCAGATATAGGGCAGAGGCATCACATTAAAAGAGAATGTCTATCAAAGGGCCTCAGAGCCCTTCTGGCACATAGTAGGTGCTCAGGGCTAGCTGCTGATGAACCATTAGTGGTAGTAGTCACAGCTGTAATTTGTCCTAACAGAAGCATTAGGCGAGAGAACAAGGATGCAGGTGAGCAACACGGGGCCCAGGACAGCGGGTAGGGTAGAGACTCGTCGGGGTAACAGACAGACAGCGTCCCCACTTTGGGGGCCAGCTGCCTGAGGCTCTGGGAGGTGGGTGACCCACTCAGGGTCACACAGCTGGTAACCACCACCCTGAGCCATCCCTGTCTCTGTAGGAATGCTCACCGTACGCGGCCCACCTCTATGATGCCGAGGACCCGTCCACACCGCTGCGGACCGTGCCTGGGCTCTGCGAGGACTACTGCCTGGATGTGTGGCAGACCTGTCGAGGTCTGTTCCGCCACCTCTCACCTGACCGAGAACTCTGGGCGCTGGAGGGCAACCGTGCCAAGTTCTGTCGCTACCTGTCCCTGGATGACACGGACTACTGCTTCCCCCGTCTGCTGGTCAACGAGAACCTCAATTCAAACCTGGGCCGTGTGGTGGCTGACGCCAAGGGCTGCCTGCAGCTGTGCCTGGAGGAGGTGGCCAATGGGCTGCGCAATCCCGTGGCCATGGTGCATGCCCGGGACGGCACCCACCGCTTCTTCGTTGCTGAGCAGGTGGGGCTGGTGTGGGCCTACTTGCCTGACCGCTCGCGGCTCGAGAAGCCCTTCCTAAACGTCAGCCGGGCCGTGCTCACCTCACCCTGGGAGGGCGACGAGCGGGGCTTCCTGGGCTTGGCCTTCCACCCCAGCTTCCGGCACAATGGCAAGCTCTACGTCTACTACTCTGTGGGGGTCAGCTTCGAGGAGTGGATCCGCATCAGCGAGTTCAGGGTCTCCGAGGACGACATGAACACCGTGGACCACGCCTCTGAGAGGTGGTTTCCCTGGTGGGGGCAGGGCTGAAATTCAGCTGCATGCACCGAGATGCCCTGGTATGACCGTACCGATTCTGCTGTATGCTTGCACAGGTTGCTAAAATACTTTGCAGTCATACCCAGTGAGGGGCCTGAACCCCATGTTGTAGGGTCAAGGGAAGGCCAGTTGCAAAACAGACATCACAGGATCAGGTCAGAACTTCTGGTTCAGGTACTTGAGATGGTTCATTTCACTTGGTTTGCATAAAGCCCATTTTACAGGCGAGAAAGTGGAGGCTTAGAGAAGAGAGGGGACCTGCTAGGTCACACAGCTGGGAAGCATCAGCGCTGGAATCCTGGTCTGTGTGTCTGCCAAGCTCATTGCACTGCTCCACCTGGTCTCACTATGGCCTGGATGCACCGTTCTTGTGTCCCACCTGCTGCTTCTCCTTACCAGGGCCCTCCACCCTTCCCTGACCCCAGCAGGTGTATCCATTTCTGTTCCTCCCAGCACCATGTGTGTTCTCTATATATTATTTATGCCCCAACTGTCTTAAAAACTGCTTTGATCCAGCCTGGAATGGACACAGGCATCAATCAGGGCCAATAGGAAAATAAACACTGTACCAGGTAATTCAATAGGCAGAATTTGATCCTGGCATCTTGTTACTCAAGTGTTAGAAATGAAAGAACAATCCAGGCAAGAAGGGAGGCAACTCCGAGTTGACCGACTGAAGGAGGCTGCCTCCACTTCTTAGACTGGAAGGACAAAGTGAGAAGGTAGGGTTACAGGAGCCCTGGAGCTGGAACCACTGTGGGCCAGAGTGGGGAGAGTTGGAGACACTGCCTGAAGCAGAGAGGGAGTTGGGGAGAAACACCTGGAAGCCAGCTAGCAAAGGAGCATGGGAAATGTAGTTTGTAGAAGCTGGTCCTCTGAGGCGGAGAGCAGGTAGGGGAGGGCCGGGATTGTATCTGGGCAAACAGGCAAGTAATGGCGCATCAAGTTTTTGATGATACTGTAAAATCTTGACAGTGAATGTATAAACAGGAGAAGGGATCAAATATGCTGGCTAAGGTGAGGAGGGCTGATGTAGATCTTTCTGTGTAGCATTAATTTTGACTATGAGCATCCTAGCAGTCAGAGCAAAGGGAGAAAACATAACTGTTGCTATCTTACATGAGGCTGCACAGCCAGTTCTCCAGGAAAGAAAGTTTATCACATGGGTCTCATAGAGGAACAATATGGATATGCTTCAACGATGACTTTTTAAAATTAATTCCTGATAAAGACTGAAAGTGGAACACAAAATATACAGATGAGCATATTTCAGAGTGCGGGTTCAGCAAGGATCCTCAGAGGACCTCCCAAGTATAAGCCTAGACCCTGATTCATACAGGGGGAGAGGCAGGCAGGGCTGGCTCAGGGCAGGGCCAGGAATGAGGGGTCATCCTTGCTGAGTCAGCTGTCAGTCTGTTCCCAGGGCTGGGATCCCAGTGCAAGGTGGCCGGCTGACGGTCTGAGCTGTTCTCTGCAGGGAGGACCTGGAGTCCGGGGGCTGTGAATGGCTCACCAAGTCATGTGTGTTGGCCTCACATAGAAAGGCTTCCAGCATTGGTTCTGAAATCTGCAAGTTCTGGGTTCAAGTTACTTGACCTTTCTGTATCTCAGTTTTTCTTGTGTGTATTAATAAGGGGTCAGTCAATCAGTGACCAATCCTAAACCAGCTGAAGCATTTCAGTCAGAGGGAGTTGGCTACAAAGGTAGTGGGAGGGCTGGAGAGGGAAAGTCAAGTAGCCCCAAGAAGCTAGAGGGGGGGCAAATGGGGAAGGTCTTCATAACTGCTGAGCTTGCTGCTCTTGGTACCACATGATGTCTGGGTGGAAAGCCAGGAAGCCACATTCGCCAGCCCCTGTTGCCATCTCTCTAACCACCACTTCTGGAGGCGGTGCCAGAAGCCAGGGACACGTGCTGTCTCCCTTTCTCTTGCCTCCTACTCTCCACTGGCAAATCCCAGCCGCAAGCCAGCTGCCCAGCAGTGTAGCAGAAGGTTTCCTGCCAGGGCAGTAAAGGACGTTGCGGAGGGGTGAGTGTGTCACTGAGCACAAGCCACACCCAGCCCATCTCCTTAGAAGTTACGGCTCTCACCAAATGAGGGCATGTGCAGGAAGGCTCAGCCTAAGGAGCTGGCATTGGGGTAGGTGTGATGATGAAGAAACCAGTGTGCCACTGGCTGGGTCAACAGTTCTGCATGATCATAGCAAGGCAGGTGCTAGCAGTGGGGAGTGGTAGAAAAAGCACCAGACCAGAACTAGAAGTCCTGAGTTCTCAGCCCAGCTCTGCTCCCTATGGGCTGTGTGACCTTGGGCAAGTAGCTCAACCACTCTGAGCCTCCAGTTCCTTATTAGCACAATGGAGTGATTTTCCCTGCCCTGCCTACCAGATCCTTATGAAGATCTCCTGCTCTAAAGTATGTATATAGTCTTTTCCACTGTGAAATGGTATCTGAGAAAGGAGGTATGATCTTTTGTGTTTTTAGCTGAGTTTTTTGGGGGGTTTGGGGGATGGGTTATCTTCTTGTAGGATAATCCTGGAGATTGAAGAACCAGCCTCGAACCACAATGGGGGCCAGCTGCTCTTTGGGGACGATGGGTACCTCTACATCTTTACTGGAGATGGCGGGATGGCCGGAGACCCCTTTGGGAAGTTTGGAAATGCTCAAAACAAGTACGTTCTGCTCCTGGTTGGCTGGTGGGGTGGTTTACATAAGTCTTCTAGAGGGGGCGTTCCTTCCTCAGCTGTACAGCAGAGCAGTAGAAAGGGCTTTGGGCCCCAGCTCGGGCTGGAGCCAGCCTGCTGAGACCCCAGGGGACTCATAATAACCCCCTTGCGGAGGCTTGTCATGAGGAGTAAAGGCGATCATGCCTGTCTAGGGCCAGGCACAGAGGCCGTTCGTCACAGGTGCCTGATAGGTGACATCAGAGAGCCTCTGGGAGGTGAGATTTTATCTCAGGTCAGCCAAGCCTGCAGGAACCAGGGAAGGGAAGAGGTGCTTTCCCCCCAAATAGGGAGGGCGACTTGGTTGGAGCAAGGCTGTGAGGACACCTGGGTGTTCTGCCCCAAGGGTCACCCACGATGGCCCAAAAACTGAAACATGGTCCTGCTGTCAACTACTCACTTCTTGGCCTGAAGATGGTCTGCCCTTATCCTACTCCTCACACACCTGTACACATGTGTGCACACACACACACACACACACACACAGTCTTGTGAGTGTAGATGAGGATACCCAGGAGTATCTGGGCAGCCTCCCCCATTCTCTTAGCTGAAATTATAGAACCTCCCTCAGCCCAGAAAGTAAAAATAGCACATATGATGTTGATTACAGTAATTAAAGTGTCACTATTTGGGACATGTGCTTTCATATGTGACAGTGTAAGACTTGCTGCAGCTTTCTCATGTTTGGGATGTGTTTAGAGATGAAGCAGAGAAAATAGAAATTAAGGATTTATGGATAATTGGACAGAACTTAAAACACTATTTTGCTGCTATGAGTTTTGCCCACTTACATAACGGAGCTGGGCACATGGTGTGTGAGCCGTGGGGTATAATGTGTAGCTGGGTGCTGAGCAGGCTGGGGTGCATAAAGGACTCACTGAGCCAAAGGCTGAAAGTCCGAGGGAAAGGAGTAACTGTGGCAGCTATTGGGTGGGAGCATTTTGTCACCATTAAAGAGGATGCTTGTAAGATGTCCTCTAATGAGGGAAATGCTTGGATGCTGATAATATGTGCAAATGACAGTACAGTTTTATCACGTATGTAAACCACACCAGTCCTGCCTTGAAGGGCAGCCTGGAGAGGGTGCACCAAGATGCTACCAGCAAGGAAAAACCCGTGTAGTAAGGAGATGCATCAAACATCCCAGGTAGAAAGGACATGTTCCCTTAGTATGTCTTCAAGCACATGGCAGGTTTTCCCATTATATGTCAATTTTATCATGGGATCAATGGAACCTACAAGCTACTCACTCCTGGGGTCTGGTCCAGAGCTTGCCTGGGGCTTCTGGCAAGTCAAGCCCTGTTGGAAGCTGAGTAGCCTCATCTTTGAGGTAGGGGTGCTGGGTGTGAAGTGGGTGGTGAACTGAATTGCCACTGAGGCCTGCCCAGCTCTCTGACATGCTGAGTTTCTGGCCGGGATGGCCCTGGGCATGTGACAGAGAGAGAGAAAGAAAGAAAGGTAGTAAAAACCTCAGCCTCCCAGCTCCTGCTGAGATCTGCCATGTTCTCCCTTGTATGTGTACCCTTGGATGGCACACGTGACTTTGGTTGCTGTCCCTCATTCATTCAGTCACCAATGAGCGAGCACCTACTACCTACTGGTCACTGTGCTGGGTGTTGAAAGAAAACTGCAAATATGAGGCATTTTCAAGAGGCATTTTCACCCTGTAGCACAACCCAAAGTAGGCAGGGACGAGAGGGACAGGATCGGTACCGGGAGGGAGAACACTGCTGCCGTGGAGAGCTTGGTTTCTGCCCCAGGCTGCCTGGCTGGACCCCCACCCCACCATACAGGCGGTGTGGCAGGCGGGCACATTAGGCCACCGTTTGGAGTTCAGATCCTCCATGGGGATCACAGCAGTGCCCACCTACCTAAAAGGTTTGGTGCATATAAAACCAGGCTGTGCAGAGTATGCATGTCACGCCTCCGCTAAGGTGCGGGGTAAATGTTAAATGAATGGATGAGGTGACCAGCTAGTAAGGAGCCGAGGCAGCCGCGGCTTGCCTCCCACCTGGCGCGACCCCAGCCGGCGCCTTTTCCCACCCCGAACGCAGGTCGGCGCTGCTGGGCAAGGTGCTGCGCATCGACGTGGACCGCAACGAGCGCGGCCCGCTCTACCGCATCCCGCACGACAACCCGTTCGTGGGCGACCCCGCCGCGCGCCCCGAGGTCTACGCCCTGGGGGTGCGCAACATGTGGCGCTGCTCGTTCGACCGCGGTGACCGGGCCTCGGGCGCGGGCCGCGGGCGCCTCTTCTGCGGCGACGTGGGCCAGAACAAGTTCGAGGAGGTGGACCTGGTGGAGCGCGGCCGCAACTACGGCTGGCGCGCGCGGGAGGGCTTCGAGTGCTACGACCGCAAGCTGTGCGCCAACGCCTCCCTCGGTGACCGCCCCCGGGGGCCCGCCTCCGGGACCTGCCCTCCCCGCACGGCCGTGCTCCAGCGCCTCCCTCGGTGGCTGCCTGCGCCCCTGGGGACCCCTGGTCCCGGATCCGCCCTCACCCCATGAGATGTGCGCCAGCGCCCCTGCCCTGGACCTCCCTTCCCAGGCTTGTCCCCCCTCCAGCGTTCCTAGGCCATGCTAGCGCCGCCCCACTCCATCCCCCCACCCATCCCAGTAAACCCATGCTCTCCTCCCGCCTAACCCAAGTTGTAAGCGCCTCCCGCACTTGGTGACTGTCTGGAGTCCCAGCTCAGGCCCTCCTGGTGACCTCACAACCTCTGGCCCCGCGGGACTGAAGACCACCCACCAAGGTTCTGGGGGAGGGGCTGACTCCGCAGAGGAACCTGCAGGCCTCAGGCTCACCCCTGCCTCTCCTCCCGCAGATGACGTTCTGCCGATTTTCGCCTACCCGCACAAACTGGGCAAGTCGGTTACGGGAGGCTATGTGTACCGGGGCTGCGAGTACCCCAACCTGAACGGCCTCTACATTTTCGGGGACTTTATGAGCGGGTGAGTGGCCGATGGGTTCCTGTGCCATGGCAGGCCCACCACACTGAGATCCACTGGCTACTACCACTGGCTCCCTGGAAAAAATGTGTGTGTGCGTGCTTTGCATGTGTGAGTGTGTGCAGGTGTGCATGCTTTGCATGTGTGAATGTGTGCAGGTGCACGGTTGATAGCTGCTTTTGGACAGGGATACGGTGTGAGCCAAGCCTCCTTCAGGAAGAAGTCGGGAGTCACATGGCAGGAACGCCCCACCCCCCTTCTCTCCTGATGTCCTTTCTGGGCCTCCCTAAGCAGCACCTGAAGGCACAGTGCGCCACTGTAAGACTGGGCGCTTGTTTAAATGCAGACCCTCAGTCCTCTGCTTCCTCCCGAGATGCTTGGCCAGGGCCTGCGAGTAGTTCTGACAGGCAGGGAGGGCAGAGGTGGAAGGTGGGGGAACTCGAACAACGTCCTTGACAGGCTCTGCGCCACGTGGCTCCTGAGGAAGCCAGGACCTGTGCCTGCACCAACTGCTCTGGTCCAGAAGAGGCCAGAAACGCCATCCTACCCAGGACAGGGGAGCTGGGGCTCAGCCGAAGTCTGACCATGGGGGCCCATGGAGCCTTGCCATCTGCATCCCATGCTCTATGGCAGTGCACCCTAAAGGGAGGGTATGTGTGTTTGCCAGGGGTGGGAGGTTGGGGTGAGTCACCCCTAAACAGGTTTGGAGAGAGGAAAGAGAACAAACCTCCCAAGCCTGCTGTGGGTCAGACCCTTTCCCCAGGGGAACCTCGTGACCACCTCATTCTCCCACTGCACAGAGGAGGAAACTGAGAACAAGAGAGGCCAGGGAAGACACTTACCCAACACCAGCCACAAAGTGCAGCTGAAATCGCCTGGGGCCCAGCCCAGCCCACTTACTGGCCCTGTGACCTGGAGCAGTTACTTTACCTCTCTTGGCTTCAGTTTCCTCATCTGCAAAATGGAAATAATAGTACCTGCCTCCCAGGATTTGAGGACTGAATCAGTCAACACATATCCAGCACTTAGAATCTGGTTTTTGCTCAGTGTCTGGAGGTTCTGTATTCCTTCTCTAGCCTCTCCACATGAGGGCAGCTGAGAAGGACTCCTCGGGAGAGGAAATGAGGATGCCTGAGGCTGGCAGGGGAATTCTCTTGCAGGCTGCTGACCTGAGGTTGGCTTGTGGCCAGTATGTCTGCATCTGGAGCTGAGAGAACCCTGACCTGGGCCCCTGGATGCTGGGTCCTTCTCCCAGCTCCCCCGCTTCCTTGGGGCTGCCTCTGGGACTCAGCTTTCCCAGCTGGAAAATGGGTCTGAGTGAAGCCTCTGTTTTTATCTTTGATTCTCCTTTCTGCCTCCCACCCTCCCGGAGGCATGCCTGAGCCAGCTGACCATAGAGATTCAACTGAGAGCCTCTCTGCTGGGTCAGCCTTTGTTGAGGACAACAGAGCTCCTTATACCCAGGTCATGGAGAGAAACCCATGCTCTGTCCACTCTAGTGCAGAGAGCCTGCACTCTCAGTGCTGGGGGGTCCCGGTAAGGGGGCAGTCAGGTGGGCTTCCCAAAGGAGGGGATGTCTGGGCAGGTCTTGGAGTATCAGCAGGTGATTGACAGGCAGAGAAGGGAGTAAGGGGCAAGACCCACAGATTCCACAGAGGTCCAAGCCCCATCTCATGCTCTGAACCAAAGTCAGCACCTGCCTGCCTTGTGCTGGTTGGGGTGGGCCTGAGCTGGGGGGACAGGAGCTGAGCTGGTCTTGCTCCCCGCTGTGCTTGTCTGGTACATAGTAGGTGCTCAGTGAAGTGTGTACACTGGCCAGCTTTACGGATGTGCAGCCTGGGCAGTGGCACCGGCCCCATGATCAGAAGGGCCAACACGTGGTTTAATGCTCTGCTGTCATTGTCTTAAAATTCTTAGTACTTTTTGAATCTGGGGCACTACATGCTTATTTTGCACAGGACCCTTGCAAATTAAATGTGGTCCTGGTTGCATGGATAATAGATGAGCTGATTGATGGATTGTGGGTGGGGTTCCCCCAGGCACCGTGCCAGGCATTACCCCACAGCTCATTCTCCTTTGCAGGCGGCTGATGTCCCTCCGAGAGAACCCGGAGACAGGCCAATGGCGGTACAGCGAGATCTGCATGGGCCGTGGCCAGACCTGTGCTTTCCCAGGCCTCATCAACAACTACTATCCACACATCATCTCTTTCGGGGAGGACGAGGCTGGTGAGTGCCTCTGATCCGGGCTGCCCATGCCTGGGCCTTAGCCTCCTCCTCCTGGGTCCTTCTGGCCTCTGATTCAAGAGATGGGGCCTCAGGCCTGGAATCACCTTAAGGCCGGGGAGCAAGGTGTTCGGTGGGCTCAAGACCTTGCTTGGGCATCGGGCCTCTCGGGTCTGAGTCTGAGCTTCCGTTTCCTCACCTGGAAGTTGGGAGTAATGGTGCCCTCCTGCCACCCTCACCCACCCTGGGCAGGGTTGCTGTGAGGGTGAGAGCATGACATGGTGCCAGGAAAGGCTCTGTGACGCTGGAAATGGGGGCAAGTGGGGGAAGAGCCCCTCTGGAGGCCTCCACCAACCTGGGATCCTGATGACCAAGGTATGGGGACTCTAAAAGGAACCACATTGTCTTCAGAAAGTGGGCAGACATGCCTGTTGGTGGGTCCCTCGTTCAGGCTTTTGGGCTTCAATGCGAGGAAGGGGGCAAGGCAGGGAAGAGGCAGACTGGCCACGGAGACTGGATCCTGCTCCAGCCTCCTGCTCTGTCCTTGGCCCTGGATTGTCCCTGGACAAAAGCTGAGGGGCCCCCAGTGGGGCCTGGGGGATGCTTGGCGGGGTTGCTATGCAACGCCCACCCAGGGGCCTTTTGAAGGGTGTCCCCTGCCGGGCCCAGGGCCCAAAGCCCCTAGGCCAGAGTCTGGGAAACTGTTGTTGAATCGACAGCAACAATGGCACAATCTAAATTTTCAAAAGGGCAGCCCCAACTCCCACTGCCCTCCTGGAGCCCCTGGGCCCTTGAAAGCTGTTTCTTTTGGTCAGTAGGGGGTTAACATGTTTTGGAAGGAGAGGTACCCTTCCCCAACCCCCCCTCCCACAATGCCCTGCCCCACCAGAGGAGGGGCCTAGACGGTACAGTTCCCCAAGAGCCCTTCCTCCCCCCTCAGTGAAGAGTGATGGGGCAGCCAGGAGGACCGGAGGAGGCCCCTGTAAGGCAGAGCCCCCAGGGACTGCACGTGGGCAAGCCGGGGCAGGCAGCCCCTGGAGACACACAGCCCTGGGGGCCAATGCAAACGCACCTCTCCCAGTTCCCAGCTCCCACTTTGCCTGTCTAGTTATTCTTCTGACATTTGCACATTGCAAAACAAGGACCTCTGCTGGCCTGGTGTCCTCCAGGGACAGTCCACCCTGCAGCGCGGCCCTGGGCAGGGCTCGACAATGATGGTGGGGGCCTCTTGCCTGCGCACCATGGCTCCCACAGATCAGGGCTGAAAGGGGTCTTGGAGTGTGCCGCGTCCATCCCTCTCCCTTTATAGACAGGGAAACTGAGGCTGGCTATTCATACCCAGTTGTGGGGTCTGCAGCTCTGTACCCAGCCTGGCCCCTGGAGACCACTCAGAGCAGGGCCTTAAGCTCAGCTTGGTCAGCCAAAGGAAGATGATGGAGAAGGGCATTCCAGGCCCAGGGAGCAGTATGTGCAGGGAGCCCCGAGTTGCTCCAGGAGGTTGGAGTGTAGGGGTGAGGGCTGCACAGCCAAGGGGCAGACAGCGGCTCCCAAGGACCTCTCTCCAGAAAGAGGCCCAGAGAGGCTGGGGCAGCCCAAGACTACACAGCAAATTTGTGGCTGAGCCTATGAGTTCCCCATCTTGCCGTCCTGCCAGGTACCCTGCTCCCTTCCACAGGTACACCATCACCTTAGGGACCTATTAACACCCCCCCACCACTACCACCAAACTAAAGCAGGGCTCGTGCTCCGGGAGGGGTTCAGAGGCCCGTGACTACTTTGCTTCTGGCCTCGCCTAGCCAGAGCTTGGTCAAGGGTAGTTACACAGGTCCCCTCTCAAGTGTCTTCCCCTTCATGGAATTCCCTGGGTTTCCTGGGCCTTGATTCTCAGACCCTACCCCCGGGCAGCCCTCACTGACTACGCCAGTACCTGGGACATGCCTTCCTCCAAACTCCCACTTAGCTGTCTGCCTCAGTCTCTCTTTGGGACCTCCCCATCCTTGGGAGAGCTCTCTACTGTCCTCTCACAAGAACAGAAGGTATTAGCGTGGCTGAACCATCACATTGAGTCACATGTGGCCTGTGTCTGGGCCTCCCAGCCACCATGTGTCCTATATTGGTGTGGGCTTGCAGGCGGCAGGCGTTACTGAGTTCTGTGCCTGGCTTGACCACCCACCAGCTGTGCAACTTTGGACAGGTCACTTAACCTCTCTGAGCCTCTGTTTTCTGACCTGTAGGATGGAAATAATGAAGCCTATTTCCTGGGCATAGGACCAGAGGATGGGATAGGGTGGGATGGGTGAGGAGAGAGGAGAAATCACCTTTCCTGAGAGCATCCTCAGCACCAGTTCTTCTGACTCAGACCCCCAAGAGGTGGAGGAACTGAGACTCTGAGTGGGGCTGTCCCAGAGCTGCTGGCTCTCAGTCTAGACTCCCCAGCCACGTACTCTTCTGTGCCTGCCACATGCTGGTGAGGTATCAGCTGGTCAGCAGACAGAGGGTCTGACCTCCAGGACGTGGCAGGGCCTGATCCTGGATGCCGATAACAGTAGCCACAGCAGGGACAGCCAACACTGGTTGAGCACCTACTATGTGGTCTTCTGAACCTTATTGTGAGGCATCTCATGTTGGGGATGAGGAAGCTGAGGCTTAGAGAGCCAGTGTGCCCACCGCCACCCAGTATGCAGTCGGTAGAGAGCTGGCTATGGACCCTCACTTGTGCCCAGAGGTGTGCCGTGCTGGGCATGTCAGGCAGGGACTGGGGCTGGGGCTAGGTGACCAGGGAGGAGGCAGGAGTGGAGGGCAGAGCCCAGTGTGCCCGGCAGTTGGGACACTGCTGCAGACACTCTCGGACATGTCTGAGTGCCTTTCTCGGCCTCTGTTTCCAGCTCCGGGTCTGCAGAGCTCCCTCCCCTCAGCTCACTGCAGCTGGAGTCCCCGGCCAAGGGAGATGGGTGGTGGTGGTGGGGGGTGGCTGCGACAGTATTCCAGGCAGTGGTCTCACCCTTTGCCTCGCTTGTTGTCCAAGGGGAGCTGTACTTCATGTCAACAGGTGTGCCGAGTGCCACTGCTGCACGTGGGGTCGTCTACAAAGTGACAGACCCCTCCAGGTGAGCCCCAGCCACCGCGCTGCATGAGCTCCCATTGTCTGCTGGGAGCCCTCCCCCCACGGCCTCATTTTTCCCTCTGTACCACTCCCTAAGGGAGTATGATTAATATGCCCACTTTTCAGATGAGAAAACCAAGTCCCTGAGATAGGAAGTGACCAGCCAAGCCTACAGTGCCAGTGAGGGGCAGATGCATGTAGGCCTGACTCGGTACTTACCTGCCCACACCCCCGTACTGTCCTCTCCCCTCCCTGGCATGCCCCTCACTCCTAATTCCCTTGAATGCCGCCCCCCGCCCCCTGCACCAACCGCAGCCCTGACTTGCCTCTGAGACCCCCTGAGCCATCGTCTCCACCCTGAGTCTGCCCTCCTCCTGCAGTCCCACCCTGCCCTGGGGAAGCCAATACGGGCTGCCTACTGGATGGAACAGGCTGGGGCTTTCAAAACCCCTTCCTGACTCTCCCCCCACGCATCTCCGTCTGCTTTGCTTCTACACTGAAAGCCCCTAACTCAGTGCCAGGCTGTGTTCTGGCTCCTTTCATGTGATGCTCACTGACTTCTCAGACACCCATTTTATAGGGGTAGAAACTGTGCGAAGTCAGTCACCCTTGTCCCAGCAGGGCTGGGCCCAGGCGGCTGGCTCTAGAGCGCTGCCTTAAGCCGTGGACGGCATGCCACTCTCCACAAGCCTCTGCCTCATCGCCTGCCGGGGGCCTCCTCCCCAGGGCCCTTGTCCCGTCCTCTCCACAGCCCGCACCACTCAGACCTGTCATCTCTGAGCTCCATGACCCTCTCCCCCTGGCTAAGACTGGACTCCTTCACCCCTGCGAAGCACGGAGCATGGCTCTGGTGTGGCACGGAGCAGAGACTCAAGAATGTTTGATGAATTAGTGATCATCCTTCTTAAGCTGCTCTCAGCCCTGAGATTTCTGCCTCTCAGCTGGCTTCCCACTGGTCTGCACCTCCATTCAGCACCCGGGCGGGCTGCCCGGTGAGTGCACAGTTGGTGCTCGCCCCCAGCACAAAGCCCTAGGCGCTCTCAAAGTTTCTGTTCCTATTTGGCAGACCCCCAAATTGGATGGTTATCCTAAACTTTGAAACACACTAGGTTTGAAAAAATCCTGAGACACCACCACCCTTTTTAAAAACAATTTTTTAAAATTTAGAATAGTTTTAAATTTATAGACAAGTTGCAAAGGTAGGTAGAGAGTCCCATGTACCGTCACCCAGCATGCTCTGTTAGCATCTTACATTATCCTAGTACACTTGTCATAGTGAATGGACCAATATTGGTACATTCCAATCAATTAAACTCCACGCTTTTAAAAAAATTCAAGTATCACTGACATAGAATCTTATGAAGGTTTCACATGAACAACATGCGGTTTCAACATTCACCCATGTTATCAAGTCCTGCCCACACCCCATTGCAGTCACAGTCCGTCAGCATAGTAGATGCTATAGAGTCACTACTTGTCTTCTCTGTGCTGCACTGCCTTCCCCCTGACCTACCCATATTGTGAGTGCTAACTATAATGCCCCCCAATCCCCTTCTCCCTCCCTCCCCACCCACTGTCCCCAACCCCTCCCCTTTGGTAACCGCTGGTCTCTTCTTGGAGTCTGTGCGTCTGCTGCTGTTTTGTTTCTCCAGTTTTGCTTTGTTGTTATACTCCACAAATGTAAACTCCACACTTTTTAAGAAGGATTTCTCTGTTTTTCCTTGTTGTCCTTCTGCCCCAGGACCCCATGCAAAGTCCCATGTTACGTTTAGTCATCATGTCTCCTTGGCTTCCTCTGGTCTGTGACAGCTTCTCAGACATTCCTTGTTGACCACACTTTTTTTTTAAAAGCACAACTCCATTATTATTGACATCACTGTTTATTAAGAAAAACATAAGCTCTTCCTTCCATGGCCCCCTTTCCATTTCACAGAGGTTCTGTCCATTTTTATCAGCATAGTGCCTGAGTTTATGTCATTGTGGCAGAGTACAGAAAAACTGCATTTTTCTTTGTTCGTTTACCTCTATTTTGTATAACTATTTCCACGTGGCTACATCACTCTCAATGGCTGCACGATTTTCTGTTGAGCCACTATGTCATGATTGTCTTACCCATGCTCTGGACATCTAGGCTATTTGCAATTTTTTTTTAAAGCGTGCGTCTTTAAGGAAATGTCACACAGGTGGAGCCCCTAATCCATGCCAGATGCTGCCTTAGACCCATCATCTCCTTCCATTGATGCAGCCCCCCATCTTTGCCTGGTGGCTCATGGTCTCTATACAATGGAGGGAAACTGAGACCTGGGGAGTTTCTGCTGGAGGCCTCATGGGTCGGAGGAGCCAAAACAGGCCAGACTCTCTCCCTTCCCACCCTTCCTGTCCCTTCTCATCCCTTTCACGTTTCTCTCTTGGAATAAATGTGTTTCTTTATACCCACTGTATACTATCTAGAGGGCCCATTACAGAACATTCAAAAGTAAGGCATCATGCCCAGACGAAACCCCTGTGCCATTTTGGGGTGTATCTCCTATCTTCTGCATAACAAAACTGTGCTGGGCCTGTCTGAAGTGTGGGAGTGTTATCTGGAGTTCAGAGCAATCAGAAAACCCACTCTTTCTGCAGCTTTGAGAAGCATGTGTGTGTGACTGTGTTTCTTCAGTCTCTGGGGAGAAAGACCATGTCTGTCAGTCCTCCACTCCTTTGCCAAGCCTGTCTGGACAGCCCCGTGTCACGTGGCTGCTTCCCCCGTTGGGCTTTCCCCTCGAGCTGTGGAATCTATTGAAGTCTTGGCCCCACGTGGGTTGGCCCCATTCAGAGGCTCAGAGTGGCAGCCAAAAACTAATTAAAATGGGATTCCATTCCTTACTTGTGCCTCTCAAAGACGTCAAAGGAGACCCAGTTCACAGCCCCGGCAGCCCTTCACACAGTCTTTTCTCTTCCACCTCTCAATACCCCCTGAGTCCCAATCCCTCAGCTCTGCTCACAGCCTGAGGTGCTCGCGCCCCCTTCATTCTTTAGAATAATTTAACCTTCCCTCAGATTTGCATCACCAGAAACCGGGAACCAGAGGGGCAGAGAGACCCACCTCCTCTGAGGCTGTGAGGTTGGGGGCCAGGGTGGGGTGCAGCAATTGGACTGCGGTCATAGTCACTGGACTCGGAGTGGCAGTGGGAGGAAAGGGCTGACATTCCATCACATTTCGAAGACAGTTCACGCTCTGAATTATAAGTGGTCCAGGGAAGGGTGAGCTGCTGGCCAAGTGCTCCTCAAGCAGAGTTTGCAATAGGAGATTCCTGTCCTAGGGTTGGGTTCTCAGAGCCCTGGGGGCCTGGAGGGAGCAGGGATGCTGCAGGCCACACAGCAGGTGCGCCACAAATGGCCACTGTCCACCTCCTGTCCACACCTGCCCAGGCCTGAATGCACCCTGGCCCTTCCCCTCTGCCTAGCTGTAGGGGCAGGGTGGATGTCTGAGGGACACGCGCAGGGAGGGCTCCCAGGGTGGAACTCATGCCCTCCTGTGTGTCAGCAGACGGGCACCACCAGGCAAGTGTCAGATCCAGCCCACCCAGGTGAAGGTGAGGAGCCGCCTCATCCACTTCGTGCCCAAAGAAAGTAAGTGTCCAATAACGGGGACCCGGCAGGGGTGGGGGAAGGGGAGCTCCTGCAGCCCACACCCAGCTGCTCCCTACCAGCTGGACCTGGATGCCTTCCCTTGGACCCGGTGCCTGGCATGGCACTTGGCACACTTATTAGACACTTGAAGCGGGTGGAGCTCCTTAAGCCCCATCCACTCCTGTGGTTGTACCAGTCCCAGACCATGGGGGCGTGGCCCCCAAGGGCCTGCAGGCCTCAGAGGGAGCCCGGCAAAGGGAGAAATCGCTGGTGCAAGAAGAGGTGCACTCAGAGTTTTGGGTGGGACAGAATAAAAAGGCATGTCTGTGTGTGAGCAAGACTGGAGAGAGCTTTTCCAGGCGCAGGGACCCCCATGGGTGGGGGCATCAGGACTGAGCCTGCTGAAAAGATGCTTTCCTCTTGACAAGCTTGATGGGGGGAGGAGGGGTGCAAGCCTTCATGACCTGAGGGCCAGACAAGGCCAGAAATGATGCCTCTGGGACCTGGGACCACCTGGAAGGGATATGCCCTGAGGAAGGGGCTGTTCCCCTGGACCCAGGCCAGGTGGGAACAGAGACTCAGTGTTGCCAGAACTTCCAGTTCTCAAGAGAAGCAGGACATCCATCCATTCATCCACATACATGGACTTCATTCTGGGGATATAATGCTGAGCAAGACGGATCTGTCCCTGACTCTGCAGGCTGTTTCGTACATCTTCCAATTTGAAAATGTTGGCAATTAATTCAAAAATGTAAAAGCCACCCCATGGACCAAAGGAAATACTTCAGTGGGTCAGATGTGCCCAGCAGGTGACCAGTTGGCAGGGTGGGGGGTGGAGTGTGAGGAAGAGAGGGTGCCAGGCCCTGAGGAAATGGTGTTCCTGGGCAGAGGAACGTGAGAGGAAGGGATGAGCTGGGTGTTGTGGGAAGTTACTTCTAGCCATAGTTGGTTTCAGGCCCTGGAGAGCTTTCCATTCTCTCATCAGCAATTTCTGGCACTTTTACACTCTCCAGGTTAATTACGTTCTCTGAACTAGATGCTGAGGCCACAGGAGAAGTCAGACCAGGCCCTTTCCCGGCTGGGACAGACAGAAGTCTCTCAGTGTTATGGGCCCCATGACAAAAGCATATACTGGGTGCTGTGGAGACCCAGAACAGTGTGGGACTGGGTGGGGGTTCCCAGAGGCCGAGGGCGGAGGCTGGTGCGGAGGAAGGATGGCTGTAGCCAGGGGTGGGACTGTCTAGACAGCTGGAGCAGCAAATCAGCCCAGGGAGCTGGAAGTCCTTCCCTTCCTTCCCTGCAGGGGGAGTGGGCACCTGGCTGCAGAGTCGGGAGTGTCTGGCCCATGTCCCCCACTTCCTACCCTGCCCTGCACTCAGCCTTGTGCAAGGCCCTTTCTCGGCCCACGTCTCAGTAGTTTTCCAAGTGGGGACTGGCTGAGGTGGGGAGATTACAGCGTTTCGGAATGGTGGCCCTGGGCTCCCTCTCCACAGTCACAGAGTAGTCTGGGGGTTCTGCCACCCCTGAGGGAGGCAGTGCCTGGCCAAGTGTCTGATATACAGCAAGGTTTATCCCCTTGGGTGACAGGGCTAAGTGTGGGCCAAGGGAGTCGCCCAGCTCAGTGCCCCCACTCCTGACATACCCAGGCCCTGTGGTGTGGTAGGTGGGCAGCGTGCCCTGCCCTGCTGCCCCCAGCTCTGGCCAGTGTGGCCCCAGCCCTGCCTCCAGAGAGCTCCCATCCAGCCCCTTGCGACAGGCAGTGGAGCCAGCAGCCTTGGGAACCTGGACGGGGGACCTGCGCACTGACTGGAGGGGCCCTAGGACGTCCGGTTCCCTTCCTGCAGGGCTTAGACCCTTTGCAGTTTTTCTCCCACCAGTGGGTCTCAGCTTTCTCACTCTTCCACCAAAGGTTGGAGTCAGAAAGGGACACTTGCTCTGAGAAGCCCTCCCAGACACCCCTTCCGTTCCACCGGGCTCATGAGTTTACAGTGTGAGGGTCCATCCACCCCACCCCACCCCAACTCCCAGGAGGGCAGGGCTCCCATTGGGGGGAGACTTAGCAGCAGACTGGCACAAAGCAGCTGACAGTGAGTGTCTGTGGAATGAGCGATGAAGCACCTTGCACCCAGCTCCAGGCTGGCATCTCCAAGAGGCACCCATCCTCAGGGACAGAGAGGAGGACAGGAGGCCATCTTTTCCTAGGGGTCTGCAGTCAGGGGTGGAGAGCTGGGGTGTTGGGGCAGCCCGGGTCCCTCTGACCACAGGCTTTTTTTGTGCACAGGGTTCATCCGGAGGACGGAGACCCCCCAGCGTTCCACAGCAATCACACCCACCAAAGCGCCCCGCCGCAGCCGCCCCACAGCTGCTCCGCCCACGCCCACTCTGCGTCCAGCACGGCCTACCCGGCGGCCCAGGGGCCGGAGAGTTGGGGGGCGGCGGCGGGAGCGGCCTGGCACAGCGCACCCGGTGCCCTCCAACGGCGCGGTGCGCCTGGTGCGGCCCGCGGGCCTGAGCCCTGGTCGTGGGCGCGTGGAGGTATTCGTGGGCGGACATTGGGGCACTGTGTGCGACGACGCCTGGGACATCAAGGCCGCAGCCGTCGTGTGCCGCCAGCTGGGCTTTGCGTACGCCGTGCGCGCTGTCAAGCACGCCGAATTCGGCCAGGGCCTTGCGCTGCCCATCCTGCTGGACGACGTGCGCTGTGCGGGTGCCGAGCGCAGCCTGCTGGAGTGCACGCACGCTGGCGTGGGCACACACAACTGCGGGCACCAGGAAGACGCGGGCGTCGTGTGCAGCCATGAGGACCCTGACCTATAGATCAGTGTCATTTGTGCTGCCAGGCCACCCGCTGTCCTGCTGGAGCCGGGCAGGGCCTCTCCACCCTGTGCCACCTGTTGTGTGCACATGAGTCTGAGGGTGTCCAGCAGTGGGTGTGGTGAAGGAGGTGGCCCATCTGTAATGCTGTCCCATGCCAGGTGTGTGCTGTGCACTTGTGTTCTCTGTGTCCCATCCGCATGTTTTCTGCACACTGGAAGCCACAGCATGTGCTGGGGTTCACATTGCTCATGGGGTTGTGTGGACACAGGCCCAGGTGTTCTGTTCTTACCTCCAAGCATCTCAAGCAGCAGCAGGAACACAGTCTGGTCATGGAACCCTGAATACTGGGGGCTGCCATCCTTCAAGGGCAGACACAGCCCCTGGCTGCATCAACAGAGGCACAGCCAGCAGACTGAGGGAGGGGACCAGGCCTGCCCTGCCCATGGCTGAAGTGGAAGGCCTCAGAAGAGAGCATGAAGGTGGCTGGACAGTCAAAGGTGCTGAAGAGAGTGGGAAGATGTCCAGTGGGGTGAAGGGCAACTGTCAGACCAGTGGGTTCAGGGTGACCTGTGGGCTGTGCTGCCTGAGCAAGGGCCAAGTTGTCTACGAGGAAGCACGCACCTGGGAGAACTGGCTGGGGCAGAGAGACAGGGTGACCTCTAGGAGAAGCCTGCTGGCTATCCTGGACCTCATCATCAGGCCCTCCTGGGTGCTCAGGGGATGGTCCTGGCTCTCCCCTGCTCCCCAGGGAGAAGCCATCACACTGACTGGGCAGCTGTCCAGCCAGCCATTCCAAGTACCACGGCCCCCAGTGAGCGAGTGGACTTTGGGCTGCTCCACGTTCCACGCTGTATCAGGAACACTGGGGACCTCTCTGTCATGTGCCTCCCGCCCTTGCTCAGTGAGACCCCAGGGACCCTCTGATTCCTCCAGCACCACCCAGGGTGTAACCAGGCTGAGGGTCCAGCGAGACTACTGATGTGCTGTCACCCAGGGCTGTGCCAACAACCGACTGTTTACAACCCCCTTCCTGCCTCTTCTGTGTGACGGCCCTCCTGGGAGCTGGGGTGGGGGCCTCTGGGGAGGGGCTACGCCTACAGCCTCCCTCCTGCTCCCAGGTGGAAGCTCCTTTGCCCACTAAGGACCTCAGCCCTGGCTTCCTGGGCTGTCAAGGGACGTCAAGCACAGCTGGGCTCAGCTTCTGATGGGGGACTGGGAGGTAAGCAGATGGTCACCTGGCATCAAGGACAGGACACAGCCCATGTCAGTGGTGCTGGGAGGGCTCTGGGCGGGCCATCCCAACCCAAGCTGTGCGTTGTTCTGAGAGTTGAACTGACGCAAGGGGCAGTGTGCCCACCAAGGGACATGGTGAAGGAAGGCCTGTTGGAGCCTCCCAGCTGCCCCCTGAGGGTGAATGTGGAGCCCAGGCCTGCAGACGAAGCCTCAGGGTTGCCCTCTCGGACTCCTCACGCCTCTGCCCTGAGCGAGGTTGGTGAGGGCGCTGAGCCCTTGCAGTTCGTCTGGCCTGTTGAGCCCCACGTGGAAATGATTAACACTGCCATGGAGTGCGGCCTGTGCTCTGGGTGCTGTTGTCAGAGCAGGGCAGTGAGTGTGGACTCATTCAGTCCTCAGAACAGCCCTCTTCTCCTCTTTTACACATGGGGAAACCGAGTGCACAGAGGTTAAATATCTTAGCTGAGGGCCCCTGGCTAGGGAGAGGGGAGGCCAAGAGAGAACGCGCACAGTCCAGCTCTCCTGCTTGCACTCCCTGGCCCCAGGGCTCCTGCCTGCTGTGGCCTGCCAGCCAGGCTGGGCAGCCACTGAGGGAGACCCTTGTGAGCCTCTCCTGCCAGTGGGTGACCAGGCAACTTCCCAGGAGGCAGGGAAATTCTGAACAGTTCCTCACTGTGCAGGTTGAGAGATGGGCTCACAAGGCCAAGCATCTGGCCTGTTGCCAGATGGGGCCAAGCTGAGACTAGAGCCCAAGGTGGGTGGCCCTCAGAGCAGGGCAGCACCATGGCCCTGCCCAGCAAGGGGACGAGCTGTTGGTTTCTCTGGGCCCATATTAGGGGGGATGGGTTGCAGTAGCTTCTGCCCCCTCTTCCTGGGGCTCCTTCCCTGCCCTTCTGTGCTCCACTCCTCATTTTAAGGCCCGGAGGCCATGATGCGATGAAGCGTGGCCTGGGAAGTGGGGTGGAAGTGATAGGGACCATCTCCCACTGCACCTCAGCACCCACAGTCTGGGCCAGCACCTGGGGCCTCTGGTACCTGCCCCCAGGTGGTGGAGTGGGCCAGTCTCAGCTGGTCCCTGAGCATCCCTGTTTGTTGTGGCAGTTGGGAGAGGTCCCAGGCCCCTCCACTGCTCCGAGCAGGGCTGGCCTTGGCTCTGCCTCCCTCTCCAGCCCCCTGACTCACCACCCCTCAGGCTCCAAATATGGCTTGGGCTGCAGCCTAACTCCTGAGAAGCAGGTCGATGCAGACTCACTGCTCTTTGAGTAGTAAAAATAAGAGTGGATAGCTGACATTTGCTGAGCACTTCTGTGGTTGGCACTGTTCAAAAGGTTTTGTTTTTGTTCACTCATTTAATCATTAACTTTATGACAGTGATGGTCTAGTCACCCTCCATTTTATAGACAAGGAAGCCAAGGCCCAGGGAGGCTTAGTTACTTGCTAAATGTCACACAGTCAATATTTGCAACCAGTCAATATTTGCAATCTGGCTGTGGAACCCAAGCTGTATAGGCTGTCACACTGCTGCCTAAACATCATTCAATTTGGTGTCCCCTCCATGGGGCCCCATCATTGTTCAGATGAGGACACAAGCCCAGGGAAGGCAGAGACAGGGTAGACTCCCTGTCCAGTGCTCTGCTGCATGGAGCTGGCTGCCAAAGGAGCATGCACAAGTCTGCCTTCGAGTCCTCCAGGGTCTCTGGGGATGTGGACTGGCCTAAGCTAAGGCTCCCTCTGCCTCCTCCCATCCTCTGCCCTCACCCACTCTAATCTAGCCTCTAGTCAGCAGCTAGTGTGATCTCAGAACTTGATCGGGAGGTGCTGCCTCTGTCCAGCACCATACAGTTCGCTTCTAGAGCCTTGCAACCTAATGCTGCAGAGATGTCCCAGGTGTGGCCCAGCATCCAGGCCTGCACCTGTGTCAGCCTCAGGTAGTAACAGTCTGGGTCCCTGACTGGGCCGCAATCATTCCCTGTTCACCTGCATCCCTCTGACAAGCCCCAGCGAGGCCACAACCCTGGGTGACCACTTTTTTCCTCTGTCCCTGGCAGCTCTGAAAACTGCAGTCAGTGGCTGAAGGCACACAAGCTAGTGGGCAACCTCCAGCTCCCCAGGGTATCCCTGAGTTTACAGCTTGCAAATGCTTGACTGGGTGTCTAGAGACTGGGGTTCCAGATTGGCTGTGTGACCTTGGGGAGGTCACTTAACCTCTCTGAGCCTTACTGGAAAATAGAGGTAGTCAGTAGAATTATTGGGGTAAAAATGAGGTAACATTTACAAACACATCCAGCTGATTCCAGGTTCCTTCCTGGACAGAAACTTGGTGTCCATGTTGGCAGCTGCCAACTGCACAAGACAGGGTGGGGAGGGGCATGGCATATGGAGGGGGCAATATGAGAATGATCTGGGGGAAAAGTTTTCGAAACGAGAGGAAGATGAGCCGCTTTACACTAACAAGTAGAACTCAAGTGTTGTGGGGGTCATTTGTCCTCTCAGCCATCCCCTCCTCTCTCCCTACCCTGCCCCATCCCTGCTAAGAACTAGCATATATATATGAACACTTAGTGTACATGCTAGGTGCCTCAGGTGGGCCGAGGCACCCTTGACATTCCCATCCCTGTTTTCCTGGTGAGGGGACAGATCCCAAAGAAGCCTATGTAATTGTTCTTGGTTCCCACGTTCAGAGGGAAGGTGTCTGAACCACTCAAGTCAGGGCAGCCACTTCAGAGGCCCTCTTCTGCTTGCATATCCTGTCTGCATTTCCCTGGTGGAAAGCTTACCTGGTTGTGCATTGTGGAATTCCCCCGTTCTTGTCTTATGAAAGGAAAGAATTCAGACTAGAACAGATAGAAAGTTAAAGCCGCAAAGAGTGTTTTATTTAGTAAAGCAAAAGGCCGGTAAGCTCCAAAGACAGAGGAGCATACTGACCCTGAGGGTGGGGAGCAGCCTGCCAGGTTTTACACTGTGTATTTTTATGGGAGTTTATTTGGTTTCCTCCCTCGCATCTTGTTGTTCTCACACCACCCTTTGGATCCGCCTTGGTTTCTCCCCTTCAGCCTCTTTGCACAAGTTTGCATTAATCATTTTTCCCATAAGCGCCTAAGTGAAATCCATCCTGGGGCCAAAACCGCAATTAAATGATATTACAATGATATTATAAAGGCCTCAGGGTTATTAGCGGACAAAGTTGTCCTTAAGAGCGTGTGCTCCAAAACTGGGGAATTCCTGGGGGTCCGCATCTTACCGGTTTGTGCTGAAATGCAAGGGAGGTTGGTCCAAGGGAGGCAGGAGGGTCTCTGGGTGGTCTGTGCCCTCCTTTCTCCCCTCCTGCTCATGTCTAACTGCCTACTCTAACACAACCACTTCCTATATGGCATTGTCTACACCAGTGGTTCTCAAACTTGAGCAGAATCACTTGCAGAACTGGTTAAAACTCAAGTTGCTGGGGTCCTTTCAGAGTTGTTGACTCAGTAGGTTTTGGTGGGGCTGGGAATTTGCATTGTGACATGAGGCAATGCTCATGTTGCTGGCCTAGGGGACACACTTCGAGAAACATTGTCTATATTAGTGCTGCCCGATAGAAATATATATGAGCTTTATTGGTAATTTTAAGTTTTCTCATAGCCCTGTTAAAAAGTAAAAAGAAATGTGTAAAATAAATTTTAATATATTTTATTTAACCTAACAAATTCAAAACCTATTGTTATAAAAATATCAGTTTATTTTTACATTCCTTTTTTCCCCCTTGTAATCCAGTGTAAACACACAGCACATCTCAATTTGGACTAGATTTCGAGGGCTCCAAGCCCACACATAGCCAGTGGCTACCACATTGGATAGCATTTGTCTAGACCTTCCCAGTGAAGGGCCAGGTGGGTGGGCACGTGCTTCCAGGCAGCGCCCTCTGCTGGCAGCTGGCAGTGCTGCCTGCCCAGAGAAAGGTCCTAGCACTGAGCCTTGGTGTTCCTCTCAGTCTCCCCCACAGAACATAAGAGCTGGAATGACCAGACAGCAGTGGACTTCTTTGCATGGGGTAGAGACACTGTTGATTCCGCCTGTCAGGGTGCTCTGTTGATATAAATGCTAGGTTGAGCCAGAGGTCACTGGTGCTGACCCATGCACCAGAGAATATTACCGCCCACTCCTCAGCTCTAGTTGGACAGGCCTGCGCTCACAAATGTACCCTGGGGCTGTCCCATGCTGGCCTCAAGTGGGGCCCCAGACTGTGCCCAGAGCACGTCAGGATCTGGCCCTGCCCTCAGAGAACAATTGTTTGGGGTCCTTCCTCCAAATTGCCTCCAACCCCTGGAGCCCAGCAGGGGCTGTCTGACTTCCCCACTTGCTTCTCCACACAAAGCAGGGCCAACTAGAGGTCCCGGTGAGCACCTGCAGCTGCTTATCGCTGCCACATGGAGGCACAGTGGCAAGTCAACGCCTCCCAGCCTTACCCAGAGGCAGGTTCAGGTCCCTGCACCCAGGGGCAGAAGTCTTGTCTTCTTTGGGCTGGGTCCAGCTCTTAATGCATAGCCCTCTCTGTCACCCCGCAGCTCACACACCCCTAACAGTGGGGAATGTCCCTGGCTGTACCTGGCAAGGGAGTACACAGGCCTTCTCTGTTTCCCAGTCCCCAAGCCTCTCCAGGACTGGCCCGTGAATGGGGAAGGGACATGTCCTCTTCTCAGGAACCCAGCAGCATCTATCTTTGGAAGACACCTCCCCAGCCTGGAGGATCTTTATCTGGCCTAGAAGTGTGCACACCTGGTCCTTCCCATCTACCTGCCTTCATTCTAGGTGACCCCAGAGTGTAGGAGTTTGGTAACCAAAAGCTGGCCTCTTCTATCATACCCAGATGGGTAAGAAGCAGGTTATAAAAGGGAGGTAAGCCTTGGTTATTAGTCCAAAAATACTTTTTGGTAACCCCAGGCATATTTCTGGCTTTCTCTGGAGGTCAACTTTCTGTACCCAGATTTTCACCCACTCCCAACTCCAGCTTATTTGGACCTGGGTCAGCACCTCCGACAGGGTTTCGCCCGGGTTTGGGAAGTTCTGGAGGCGCCCGAGACTTTAGCAGAGCAGCCTCGAATCCAGCTGTGCGCTCTTCATTCGCAGACACAGCCTCCATGTGTACCCCGGGGGTCTTTGTCATTTGCCTGTGGGCCCCGCTGGGAGACCGCGGGCGCTCGGAGTGGACAGGCGGAGCAGGGGAACCCAGCTTTGGGGACTGGGGGTACCAGAGACAGGTTTGGAAATAGTGGCGTAATACGGAAATTTGGAGACTGAAAAGGGAGTTCCAGGAAAGATTTAGGGAGAAAGGGAGAGGCCTAGAACCGCACGCGGAGAAACGTCGCGATTTGCTGTGCCAAAGGGTACGGAACCGGCCAGCAGGACTTAGCACTGTCGGGGGCGCTGCAAGCGCGGAGGAGTCAGGGTTGCCAGGGACAACGCATTCTGGGCGGAGCTGCCGCTGGGGTGGAGTCTGAGGACTGGAGGCGGGGCCTTGGAGGTGGAGCGGGCGGGGCCTGGGCGCTGAGCCAGAAGCGGAGTTATGATTGGTGGAGAACACATGCGCTGGGCGGGGCCTGGACTGGGGCGGTGTCGAGTTTGGGGCGGAGCTCTAGAAGGGGCGGGGAGGGGGCGGGCCCCGAGAGCCGGAGCCGGAGGCGGAGACGTGGTTGGCGCGGACGGAGCGCCCTGGGAGGGGTCGGAGCCAGAGGGGGCGGAGCAGAGCGGGCGGGGGCGGTGGGGGTCGCGCCCGGCCTGGGGTTGAGCCGGCGCGCGGCGCTGACAGCTGAGTCGCCTCACCGTCTCCCACCCCTTCGTTGCCCGGCCCTGACCCCGGCCTGGTCTGCCCCGCCATGGTCCCTGGGCTCCTACTGCTGCTCGGCAGCGCCGCCTTGGTCGTCTTCGGCCTCTGCTGCACCTTCGTGCACCGAGCTCGCAGCCGCTATGAGCACATCCCCGGGCCGCCGCGGCCCAGGTGAGCGGGGGGTGGGGGCGGGGGCCTGGATGGGCGCTCGGATGGGGGGCCGGGGGACCGTGTCCAGTCCGGCGTCGGGGCCGGGGGTCCAGCCTCGCCATTGCGCGCGGCGGCTCGGAGAGCACTGCAGGGAGAGGGGCGCTAACTATTCTTAGTAACAAATTACTCACGGCGGCAGCAGCTGCTCGGCGCCCACCGCGCTCTGCCGGGCCCCACAAACGTGATGACAACGACAACCCTGTTAGGTAGGCGCTATTGTTACCCCATCGTTCAGACAAGGAGACTGAGGCGCGCAGAGGCAAAGTCACCTGCCCAAGGTCACCCAGTTGGTAAGCCTAGATTTAAACCCAGGTCAGCCTGGCGCTAAAGTGGGTGCTCTTAACTTCGGGACTTGGACGAGGTCACACTCAGCCTGGACTGCAACACTGTACTTTGGTCACATTCCCCATTGTTTGTATTTCATCCTGGTACATCCCTTTTGTTTTCTCCTTAGTACTTCCATTCCATCCTTGGCCCCCATCCCCACTCAGCTTACCTCCCCCTCGCCCGAAGCTTACCTTTCTGAAGCTTAAATCAGTGGTGTCCTTTCTCTGCTCCAAAGGCTTCCCACCACTTTAGAACTCAATCTAATTCTAAATTAAGACCACTCTAGCCAGCAAGGCCCTGTACTGCTCTTTCCCCACTTGCTAACTCACTGCCCCCCAGTCTTTCTGCACCTGCACCCCAGCTGATTCCCTCCTCCGAGGTCTTGCTGTTCCCCATCCACCCTGTGTAAAGCCCAGGCAGACCCAAACTCCTTATGGGGCCATCAACCCTGAAGTTACCTTTGTTTACCTGTTGACTGTTCACCTGTTGACTGTCTGTCTCCCCCTTTAGAATGTGAGCCCCAGGAGGGCAGGGATGCTGTGTGTTCATTTGTGTATCCCCAGTGCCTGGCACATTGCATTTGCTCAATAAATATTTGTTGAACGAATGAAGAAACAATGGTATAAGAGACACTTTTTACACCTCAGGACATGAATATTCTGGAAGGCACCCACCTCCAGCACCAGCCAGATGCCCTAGCATTAGAAGCCTACATCCCTGTTTGGTGGGTTCAGAAAGACCACTGTACCTGGTGACATAGGGAGGCAGCTGTTCTCCCTGCTGTCTCTCTGTCCTCCCAAGTGCCCTGTCCTACCCTGGGGTCTTCCTGACCCCTTTTCCCTTGCTTAGTAGCTCTTTCACACCACCCAAATGGTACTTCTCCCAGCCTTCTAGGCTTGGCTTAAATGCTGACTCCTCAGGGAGGTTCCCCCTGCTCCTATGCTCATATATGTCACTGTAATGATAATTGGGTACTTATCTGTGCAACCACTTGTTGAGTGTCTGTCTCTCCCATAGGCCTGTGTCTGTCTTGTTCACTGCTGTGTCCAGCCCAGCAGCACCTGGTACATGCACAGTAGACACTTAATAAACAGGGATTCAAGGTGGATGGTGGAAATCTGCAAGTTTTGTTAGGTACATAATCAGCCTTTCAAGCTTTCCAATCAGCTGTCAGCAGCTTGGACCTGAATGAGTTTCACACTTGTTCTGATAGGTCTTGTCATCACTTGGCCTTCTCAGAAACCCAGATGCTCCAGCCACTGCAGACTCGGTCCAGTTCTCTGAGGAAGCAGAACCTAAATCATACCCTCTCTTCACATCTTTTGTTTTTAATTGCTTTTAAAAAATAAAATTATGTATCCCATAACATTTTATGTTAAACATAAAATTTTAAAGCATACCATTTTTAGTATAGTGACAGAGTTGTTCAGTCATCACACTAGTTTCAGAACATTTCATCACCTCAAAAAGAAACCCTGTACCTATTGGCTGTCACTCCACCTTCCACTTCTAATCTGCTTCCTGTCTCTATGGATTTGCCTGTCCTGGACATTTCCTATAAATGGAATCATACAATACGTGGCCTTGGGTGTCTGGCTTCTTTCATTCAGCAGGGTCATCCATGTAGTAGCATGTGTCTGTATTTCTTTCCTTTTTATGCGTGAGTTTTCTCCCAAATTGTTCACCATAGAATCTGCATGTGACCTACCGTGTGTATGGGTGGGTGGAGGAGTAGGGGGCAGTGGAATATAATTACGGGCGGGCTCTTTATTCTAAGGATGTGAACTGAAGGACGCATATGCAAAAAGACTGTGGATTAAAAATTGGTTGGTGGTCAAATATAAAACTGCACCAAATGAAAGTTCTGGAACTTCTGGCACAGATCAAATGCTTTGGCATTCAAAGCCTGAAATGCCAAAACCCCTTGGTGCTTCAGGGCTTTGCCAACTTGCAGGCAAGGCACCTTCCGCCCTGCAAGAGGCAGCTGCTGTGCTTCCCCACCCCCTCCCTTCATCCTTCATCCTCTGCAGGAGTCACCAGGATGCCCTCTCCTCCAGGATGTCTTCCTTGAGTGTCCCACCTTATTGCAAACAACATCCTACTGCAATGATCCGCGTAACAGCTGAAAACTCAGACTCCTGTTTAGATCCCATACCAACACTTGTAGCTTCTTTATTTCTCTGCCACTGTTCTAAACTTCCTCACTGTCTCCCTCCCACTCTCCTGGTAGTGTGGGGTGAATGTAAACTTGACAATGAAAGGTCTCTCTCTGGTTTTATTTATTTTGGAGTAAGATTTTCAGGTTTGACTCCTGGGCAGAGCTGCTCCCTCTTCCGACCCCTCTTTGCCAAGTTGCAGGGTTTGGGGTGGGGGTGGTGGTGATTGCTGTTCAGCAAGTTGCTGGGTGGTTCCTGGTGATGGTGGAGACCCACGGATGGCTCTGTTGGGTGGCCCATCCGGTGGATGTTGGTGGATGTCGCCACCCTATCCCTCTGGCACAAGCAACAATCATGCCCCCTGTCCTGCACTCTTGATGGGTGGCCCACCCCTTGCCACTGTGCGGGCTCCCTTCATCCTTCTGGCTGGCCTCACAGTGGGCCCTCCAGATGACCTCTGCTTCAGTCACTGCCCAAGACTTTCTCGGGTCACAGGAAACCTTGGTTTTCCCCTGTACTAATCACAGTGTTATAGGAAACCTCAGGTGCTGGGGCCCTGGCAAGGGAGGGGGATTCTTGCCCTCCCCGATCTCCCTGGGCTGCTCTGCCATATCCAGTGTACCAACAGGGGTGTGCTAGGTGGGCATCTGTCATTCCCCTTCACCCCCTCCCTCCTCGTCCCAGTATTCTTCCATGCCCTCATTCCACCATCCCTTACCTGTTTATTTCTAACACCTGGTCTTCCTGCTGTCCTTCGCCTTCCCAGCGCCCCCTGCAGGAACTGGGAGGCATGGGTTATAGTTCCCTTTCTTTTCTAGCGGCGGGGATACCATGCCTCTCTGTGCCTTTAGCCCTCTTGAGTTGTTACTCAACTTACTCCCCAGGCGGCACTGGACCCCAGATAAGGCGGAGGCTCTCAGGCCTGGGAGGGTGAGGAAGGTCCAGACTCTGTTCTCACTAGGATGTCTCCAGAGAACATTCTTCCAAATGTTTGGGAAGTGACTGTGAATACAAGATTGTTCAGGAAATGCAGCCAGTCGTGTGTGTGATGTCCACCGTCCCTCCTTCTGCAGGTGGAGTGGTGTAAGTTCAAGGCCATTTGCCTCAGATGGGCCTCAGCTGCCCAGCAGCCACACTGCCCTTCTTTCTGGTGCGTATGCGCGCCCTCTCTGGAGTGTTCTGGCCTCCTCCTCAATCCCTGTCGCCTCTTCCTCAATCCGCAATCTCGGGCTTTCTTCTTCCCTCCTACTTCCCTGTGCCAATGGAGGGAGCAGCCTGAGAGAACCTCCTTCCATGGTTCTCGGCCACACCTGCCCCTTGGTGGCACTGCGCCCTTGCGCCCTTCCGGCTGCAACGGCAGTGGCCCCCCAGCTCAGCGACCCTGCCCCAGCAATGCCCCATCTCTGCTAACGTCATCGGTGTCTTTCTCTTCTGCATCATTCCCAGTTTTACAGAATATGCTGTAAAATATCCAACCACTCTTCTCTTCCCCCTCTCGTTCCCTCCAACTGCCCCCTGAGCCCCGTGTCTGCACCCGGCCCCCCTCCGGCCCCCACCAGGAGCCTGCCAGTCCTGGGGCCCGCAGTCCTTCCTCCCATTCTCTCTTGAAGCCACTACCCTGTTGGGCGCTGATCCCCACACCCACCCGTCCACCCAACCTGCTCTGGTCAGGGCCCCCGTGGCCCGCCTCCACGGAGCTCGGCACAGCCCCCATGCGTCCCATCTTGCCGGGTCCCTGGCTCACCTGGGGGCCCCCATCCCTCACTCCTCCTGGCCTCTCCTTCTTCGCAGGCAGGCCTCACACTCCCCTCTCCCCAGCTTACCTGGTCTGTCTCCTGGCTAGTTGTCCCTTTGTTGCCTGACACCCCCGCGGTGGCTCAGACCTGGGGCCTCCTCTCTGGCTACGCTCACCCAGTGTCGTCTAATCCAGTTGCTGAGCTCACAGGCCACCTCTCTGCTGAGGACTCTCACAGTTACATCCCTAGCCTGGAGCCCTCCAGCCTCCAGGTATTTCCTTGCTGCTCATCTTCCACTTGAAACAGGCCCCGCAGACCTAATAAGTTCAAAGCTAAACTCCTAATTTCACCCAGTGGTGTCAGGTTGTTCCCCCAGCCATTCTAAGAACTGGATTGAAATGTAACTTACAAGCAGTAATCCCCTGGAGGTTGGGGGCTGGACAGAAAGTCAGACAGCCAACAAGGCAAGTTACCGCTGGGGGCATCTGAGGCACAGCCGCCAGGGGGAGCCCTGGGATCCCACTGAGCTGGAGGAGCCCCGGCCAGGCTTGGTGGTGGACGGCTGCTTTGGGGCGTGTTGAGCTGCACCTGGCGGCCCACCCCTCCTGCAGGCAGAATCTTGGTGCTGGCCTTTGGAGCCTGATGCTTTCATAGACAAGGGCAGGGGCCGGGCACAATGGGGTCATCTTCCCCAACAAGCTCCCACTCAGTCCTCCCAGCCATAGTAAAGGGCAGCTCTGTT